GGATTGCAGTTTGAGAGATCCTTTTAACGTCTGTGTTGCCCTGGGCCACACAGTTACTGATAAGTGACCAGGCGGTAATGTTCCCTTTTGCAGTTTGTTGTACAGTCGCACCATGCCCATTTGCAGATATAGAAATAGACCCACCCCCTCAGGCTGTTCCTTTTTGCCTCCAAATGGGGTCTCATTACGTTACCCAGGCAGGCTTTGAGCTCATCATCTAGCCTTGGTTTCCCAGAGTGGCTGGGATTCCAAACATGCAAATCCATGCCCAGCTCGGGCTTAGGTCCTCGGTGTGCACATTTAACACCCTAGCTTTCTGCTGGTTTACAGAGTACCATGAAAGAAACGCTAGAAATCCTGGTACTGACTAAGGGGCTAAAAGCCACCTCTCAGCGTTCTGAGATCTTCTCAGTCACTCTGGTACTATTCTCCTCCATCTTGCTGAGTTAACATTTATACAGAAGATACCTGAATTCAAACAGTAGTGTGACCTTATTTTCACTTTATTAAAATGACCTTCTTGGCTAACCCTCAAGTAATTTAACCCGTGTCTTCATGTTCCAATTAAAATTACATCAAATAAGTGAAATTGGATTTTTCCTTTGCATTTGGTGGAAGTGCTTCCTGACCCATGCAGCTCCAAGAGGGTTAGCCTCTTAAGGAACGTGGTTAAGGATCTGAGGCAGAAAGTGTTCTATTACCTGGCATGTCCACTTACTAAGTTGGTATTTATGTACACCAGCTAGCAGGAAAACAAACATATTATTCAGTATGCCAGCTTCCCATGAATGGAGGTCTTATGTGATGCAGGTGAGAATCTCTGGTCAAACTCAAGGAAGGCAAGAGACTTCCGCCATCAGTTCCTAGTCTGTACAGACCTAAGTGAGTACATTAAGTTATTCTAACACATGGAAAGATGAAATTCCCTGAAGAAAGTATTTTTAGAGAGAGAGAGAGAGAGAGAGAGAGAATTTTATTTCACTGGCCAGAGACGAGCTGCAGCTCTGTAGCTCCATAGGAGGGAACAAAGAGGAGGACATGGTAAGGAGGGGACAGGAAATCGGACCCTTTGTAGACTGTTTTCCATATTTAATTTTCTACATTACACTGAAAGGGCCAGTCACCAACGAAACATTTTTATTTTTACTCCCAAAGTCCAGCGTTTGTTTCTTTATGAAGTTCAAGGCCTCAGTGTCCTCCCATCACCTGCCATTGGACCATTATGAGGACCATTAGTCCCTGTGCAACTGTCCAGGCGGCCAGCTGTTCTGTCATTTCTCACAGTTTCTGAAGCCACTTACTGGCTCTTCCTGCTTACTTAGGTAATATAATTGCCTTCTCGGGTCTCTGATGGAGTTGAAGACTAGATAGTTATAGTTAGTTCTTTCCTTATTAACAAATTCAGAAAAGAAAAAACACATAAAGAGGTGTAAAGTGTATAGGGTTGAGAGACATCCAAAGACAGTTTTTGGTTGGTAATGCAAGTTGGGATAGAAAGTGAGTTAGAAACAACACTTCGAACTCACCGAGATAGGATAAATAACGGAGTATTTTCTCTGAATTTGTCAAATGTTAATGGACTAGACGTTGCTAATATAATTATTGTCTGTACATGTTTGTACATAGTTATTGTGCTTATTGTGTATAGTTTTTCTATGTTAGTCATAACCTCTTTATTTTAGACAAAAGGGGGAAATGTGTGATATCAGGTTTGTGTTCTGACAAATAAAGCTTGCCTGGAGATCACACTAAAGGTGGAGCTAGCCACTAGTTAACCATAGAGGTCCGGAGGTCTAGACAGACAGGCAGGAAGGGGTGAGGTGAAATGGAGACAGGAGCTTGGCCCTTTTGATTTCAGAAGTCAGAAAGAAAGGTAAGAGGTAACTGTGGCTGGTCCTTTACTTCTCTGATCTTTCAGCTTTTATCCCGTATCTGACTCCAGGTTTTCTAATTAAGACAAATTAGGATCACTTGCCACGCTACATCCCTCCTAGAGCTGTTGTCTGTTTTCCCTTTTTCACTCTTTCGAAGAAGACAAAAGCAAATCCTCTGCCTATCTCAGTTATGTCTGCAATGCCTCTAAAACTATGTTCTAATTGATCTTAATGTTAAAAACCCAGAGTCAAATATTAAGGGATGAAAGCTGAAAGATCAAAGAAGCATAGCGGGCAGCCACTAGAGTTCCTACCTCTATTGACTCCTCTAACCGAACAGGCTGGGCTCCTGTCTCTATGAATCCTCAGACAGAATGGGCCTGAGATCCTGTCTCCACACACCTTATATTCCTGTCTCCACCTACCCAGTGCTGGGATTAAAGGCATGTGCCTCCCAAGTGCTGAGATCTAAGATGTGTGCTACTACTGCCTGGCCTTTATGGTTACCTATTGGCTAGCTCTACCCTCTGATCTTCAGGCAAGCTTTATTTGTTACATCACAAACAAAATATTACCACATCCATCTAACTTTTACTGAGCACCTATAAAACACATGAGACAAAAGGGTAGATAAAATGGGTGCTGATGTTGGAAGTCTAAATCTTCCAGGGAGAAATAAAATCTGTAAACAGATTCTAACTTAGGCTTTTTCCATTAATTCATATAACTTAAATTAACCCACACCTTTTAATCTACATTCTTTTTTTTAAAGATTTATCTATTATGTACACAGTGTTCTATCTGCATGTATGCCTGCAGACCAGAAGAGGGCACCAGATCTCATTACAGATGGTTGTGAACCACCATGTGGTTGCTGGGATTTGAACTCAGGACCTCTGGAAGAGCACTCAGTGCTCCTAACCTCTGAGCCATCTCTCCAGTCCTTAATCTACATTCTTTTAAGTGGTTCAGTTACCTTTACTCTGTACTGCTCATCCTGTTTCCTCAACATCTAACTGGCGACACCCTGTTTCTTCTTCCCAGAGCTCTCTCTGTCTAGAAGTCATACCTATATCTCCTGTCTTCCTGTTGGCCACTTAGCTTCCAGCTGTCAGAGAACAACTGGAAGGAGTTGGTTCTCTTCCACCATTTGGGCTCCAACTATCAAACGCGGGCTTGGCAGCATCATTACCTACTAAGCCACCTTGGCAACCTGTTGTTGAAGGCTGCTCATTCACTTCCCGGCCGCCTAGACCCGAAATAACCACACAAAAACTGTATTATTACAATACTTCTTGGCCTATCAGCTTATGCATATTTCTAGCTAACCCTTACATCTTAAAATAACTCATCTCTATTAATTTGTGCATCACCACGAGGTAGTGGCCTACTGGCAAAGTTCTGGCTGGCAGCTCACGTCTTTCCCTTCTGGTTGCTACATGGCTTCTCACTGCCTCTGCCTCCTTTATCCCAGCATTCGGTTTAGTTTTCCAGTCTAGCTCTATTCTGCTAAGCCGCTGGCCGAAACAGCTTCTTTATTAACCAATGGCAATAAAACATATTCACAGCATACAGAGGGGAGTCCCACATCACCAACCCAGCACCAGATATTTTGTAATGTAAGAAAAATGAAATTTACCTGTAATTATTGTGCTGGCTACTTTTTTGTCAACAGGCCATAAGCTGGGGTCACTTTGGAAGAGGTTAACCTCGGTTGAGAAAATGCCTCCATAAGATTGGCCTGTACGGAGGTGGAGCATTTTCTTGGCTAATGATTAATATATGAGAGTCCAGCCTATTGTGGGTGGAGCCACCTCTGGGCAGGCTATCCTGGGTTTTCTAAGAAAGCAAACTGAGCTAGCCAGCCACTGAGAGTAAGCAGTGTTCCTCTGTGGCCTCTGCTTCAGTCCCTGCCTTCAAGTTCCTGTCCTGCTTAAGTTTCTGCCCTAATTTGATCCAGGAATATACAAGCCCTTTGCTCCCCAAGTTGCTTTGGGCTATGGTTTTTATCATAGCAATAGAAAGCAAATTACATTATTACTTGTGGGAGCTGGATACTCCTAATTGTATGGCAGTCAGAATTCTGAGCGACCTGGCAAGGCACAATTTGCACCTCCCACACAGAAGGTAGTCTCTTCTGTGTGGGAGACAGGTTCAATCTTGTGTAGCCCAGGGTAGCCTTGAACTAACAGAGATCCCTCTGCCTCTGTCTCCCGGGATTAAAGGTGCGTGGCACCACTGCCTGGCCTCTGACCTTCAGACAGGCTTTATTTGTTAAAACACAAACAAAACATCACCACACCACTATCCTTTTGATCGGCCCCAGGGCCCCAGACTTCTCACAGACACATCCACCAGTCCTGAATACAGGGAGTGGGTACAGTACTCACAGGGCTCCAGCTAACACCACGCCAAGAGGGCTCACTATGAGCTCCAGAGGAGCTGTTTGGAAACAAGAGAAAAGTCATTATGCAAATTAATCCATTTACAACTAATCAGTCTTAAATAGAAAAAGCCAGGTACCTAGCAGAGAAACGGAGCAATGAATTGCAAGTTCTAGGAGACGGAGCCACGCACGCACACACTCACGCACGCTCTTCAGTGCTAGCTAGGCACCTGGGCCAAAAGACAAGCATCTGGCCTCTGGGGTCACACGGTGCGCTCACTATCGAAAACCGAGAGCTGGGCACGTATGTCTTAGTCACAAACCAAATGTGACATGTATGTGATGCTTCCAGTGCCACACTGAAGACACAGAGGCTTCTAGAAGGGGATATGACCAAGGCCACATAGTCAGGAAGTGTTCCTCAGTGGGCATGAGGGTTCATCACTCTCCTGCCTTCTGTACCAGCTCCTCTCTCAGAGATAAACTATAGCGCAGGTAAAGACACTGAAATGGCAGGGCAGTCACAGTCCTAAGCATCCGTCCAACATCTGAGTGACCCACACCGTAAGACCACGCCTGATGACGTCAAGTCAACCCCGAGGATCCACACGGTGGCGAGAACAGGCTCTCACAAGCTGTCCTCTGACTTGCACATGCGCGCTGCGGCACACAGGGTACACATGGGCACACATACAATATATCAATTGGTTAATGCAAATAATAATAATACAGACAACTGGGAAAGTACTGAAAAATAAAGATTTAATAATAAAACAATTACAATCTTTTCATCTTTACAAGACTTTAATAACAATTTACCCCATCATATTCTGATACAATCTTTAAATATTTATATATCATACTTTTTGTTGAGTCTGGGCATGTCCAGCCTTTTGACATTACAGCATGACATCGTCTACAAAGTTCTTACTCAAGGACTGTGTGATTATGAAAAAAGTCACAAAGTCTTACAATATTTAAATGTGTTTATGATTCTGTGTTGGTCCAGATTCATAGCTATCCCGGAACACACATGGCCCATGGGTCATGGGCTGGATGTGCCTTAATGTCTTGCTTGGTCATTTTATAAAAATAGTTTCATATTTAGATTAAAACGCCTGACATAAGGAAAACTATGAATTTTCATTTGCATTAATATCTGGTATTATATGTAAACATACGCTTTATGCCCATTTTTCAGAAAAAAAGAAGCCAAAACAAAGACTGGTGGGAGTTAAAAGAGTGGACAAAGCATGCAGCCAGAACCAGGGAACCTGCTGAGGGTAGAAAGCTCCCAGGTCTGCAGAGGCCGCTGAAGGGGCTCGAAGCCCACAAATGCCACCTGCCTGCTCCTGAGCTCAGGAAGGCACACATCTTTGAAAGCAGCTGGATTTAAGTCCAGTGTTGCACTTGGAGAAAATGGCATCAAAGGTTGGACTATAAATCTTCCTTATTCTCAAGTCACTGGACATTTAAGAGCAGGGATATTGATGGGCCCGCTCCCTCCTCTTCTTTCTTCTTGGAGCAGATGTGATTCATGGATTGTCCTTCAGTGGCTCTGTTTTTATCTTATTGCTTCTTCTTTGCTTCTGCTTTCTGACAGTTCTGAAAAGCAAGGTGCTAAATTATTTTATGGAATGAGCACAGTGAATTATGTAATTACATTGGAGTTTAATTAACTGGCTAACCAAATAGGGAAATAGAAGACACGAAAGAATTTACTGTGTAGGAAGCATAAATCCTCGGTGTCCTAACCATGACGACAACGAAATAGACAGAGGCCTGATCAAGCAAAATGTTTCCGAAGACATTTCTTTAAAAGATGGGTACTACAGATTTAGAACACGCTATTCAGGACAGACACGCCACAGAAGTGAGCAGCCACACCAATGGGCTTGTCTCTCTGCTACATTTATACTGCTCAACTCAGCACTTCCATTTCCAAATCCCCCAATTACATTTCTCTCTCTCTTTTCCTTTTTTTTTTTTTTTTAAAGAAAAGGATTAATACATGCAGCAGTCAGCAGGGGCAGAAAAATAAAACAGCACAACAGGAAAAAAAATGACCACACGGAAGAGGGACCATTCCTAAAGCCCCAACGCTAATCTTCCTCTCCCTCCTAGGTGTAAAAATGCCAGCAAGGAAGTCAAGGGATTCCCAGCTTTTGTGTCCCAAGCTTCATGAAAACAAGCCTCTAAACGAACAGGCTGGAACTGCCCCTCTACGGCACGCCCAGCAGACAGAACAGGTCCTCTGCCCTGCAGGTCTCAGAGCCAAGCTACAGACAGCCTGTGGGCAAGATTACTGTGTATCCTCTCTATGCTGGCAGAGCCATTTACTCTGCCGAGGACTGGGCTGGCACTCACAGCACTGGGCACCTGGAAATGGCCTGACTACTTGGCAGCATCAGTCTTGAGAGTCAGAAGCCATGACTCTCTTAAGACGTAACAAGCTAGGCCCAGCTTGGTCTTCCCAGAACCAAACCTGGGTAAAGGGCTTCATGAAGAGTCAGCTGACTAACCCGAGGAGATCAAATCCGGGCCTCCCTTCTTGTTCCCTCAGTACAGTATCTGTGTCCGGTGTGGGGATATAAAATGAGCTAGCGTAGTCTTGAAAGTCAACGAGCTAGGGAACTGAGCAAAGCAGATCTCTCCCTTTCCCTTAATTGTTTTCAGGTGAAAAACTTGAGGCTCTGAAGTTCTAGAATCATCCAAGGAGAAAGGGGCAGGGCCAGTCTGACTCTAGATGTTTCCACGCTCTCCTGACGGTGACTACTAGCTGGTAGAACACCAGCCCCACGGGTCACTGATAGACATCAGCTGTGCGCAGCTTTCCTGCCACTCACAGAGCTCTGCCTGACTTATAGCGTCAATATGTTGTGCCATGGCCTGAGAATACGCACCAGCAGCCCCCCAAAACTTCACTTTTTATTGTTTCTTTGCATATTACATAAACCTCTTCTTTCAGCCAGTCATTTTCTTAAAGTAGGATACTTTCCTGATAAGTGAGGACTTAGCAAATTTAATTAACTCAAGTATAATCTCTAATAGAAAAATCAATGAAGCCATGTGTCTCTTCAAATTTTAAATTTCTCTTTGGTTCATCTACTCATAAGCAGGATTAAAAATGAACCAGAGTTCCCCAGGGAGTAAGCAGAAGGAAAAGAATTTAAAAGCATTCACTTGTAATGTAAATAAACAAAACTTTCAAGAGCTAAGTATGTGAGCGCGGGTGAATTGGCTGAGTAAAATTAATCATTTTAGTTTGTCTTAAAATTATCCTGACCAAGCATTTGTCCTCTAACCGGCAGGATTTATGTAACGGACACAGCGAGCTTCCACCACAAGAGGGAGCCAGCACCATTTCGGTTAGTTCACGGCCACAGAAAAATCTAACAGAAAAACAAAATACAAAAGGCAGCTGTAAAATGCTTAGGACTAAAAAATATTGCATGCCATGGTGTGCTCAAATGTTTCTTAAAACAACTGCTATATATAAAGGAAGCGCATTCGTCAGGGCTGGAGAGGTGGCTAGGTGGTTAAGAGGACTTGATGCTTTTTGCAAGAGGACCCATGTTTGATTCCCAGCACCCACGCAGCAGCTATAACCATCCACGACTCTAGTTCCAGGGCATCTTCTGGCCTCTGCAGACACCAGGCAGGCACATGGTGCAAATACATATGTGCAGGCAAAACAGTCATACAGATAATTTTAAAAAAAATTACGTATTTTTGTCAGTTTCATTATGCAGGTTTTTTAGAAGGCAAAGACAGAGTCTAAAAGAGTTCTCTCAGCGAAGAAAGCAATACTACCTAAGGACCACCAGGTACATTACACCACAAAGGATTTACTCTTTGAATGTTACTAAACATTCCAACAAACAGACTAATTTCTTTCTTTCTTTCTTTCTTTCTTTCTTTCTTTCTTCCTTCCTTCCTTCCTTCCTTCCTTCCTTCCTTCCTCCCTCCCTCCCTCCCCCTTTCTTTCTTTCTTTCTTTCTTTCTTTCTTTCTTTCTTTCTTTCTTTCTTTCTTTCTTTCTTTCTTTCTTTCTTTTCGTCAGGGTCTTACTATATATCCCTGGCTGGCCTAGAACTCAAAGATCTGCCTACCACTGCTTCCCTGGTGCTGGGAATTCAAGGTATGCACCACTATGCCAGGCAAACCAGCTTTTCTCAACAGTAGTAGAGAGTCTAGAATCCATTAGTAAACATCACAAGTCCCAGGTCACTGGACCATACAGCAAAACTGTCTCAAAATCAAAATGCACACCAAAATGAAGATTCAGTTTTCATATGCATTAATTCAAAGAATTAAAGGCATGTTGACCCCTGACTGTACTCAAAATTACACCGTAAATGATACACCCATCCTAGACCAAAGACAGATAGATGGGTTGTATTTTATTACTGAAGACTTCTAAGGGTAAAAAAAACAAAAATTACAAAATTCTCCATTTTTTTTTTTTCTTTTTTGAGATAGGGTTTCTTTTAACAGCCCTGGCTGTCCTGGAACTCACTCTGTAGACCAGGCTGGCTTCTAACTCATAGAGATCCACCTGCTTCTGCCTCTCAAGTGCTGGGATTAAAGGTGTGC